AAAATCCAGAGAATCATAAGGACATACTTTAAGGATCCATGTTCCACTAAATTGGAAAAACTGAAGTATATACCACCTATTAAAATAAAACCAAACCCAAAACAAGACAAAAAAGTAAAATCATGATTAGGTAAGTGATTTAAACAGACCTATAACCTCTTGTGAACTAGGAGCAGTAATTAAATATCCCAACCATAAAAAGCCATGGGTCAGATGGATTCATGCAGATTCCTTTAAAGAAGAATTAACACTAATATTCCACAAGTTATTCTTCAAGATAAAAACAGAAGGAAATTTTCCCCATTCATTTTTCTAGACCACAATTACCTAAACCATACAAATATTCAACAAAGAGAATCACATAGCAATTCCTTATGAGTACAGATGTAAAAAAAATCAATAAATAACTTGCACGCTGCATACAAGAACGCATCAAAAAGATCATCTATCATGATCAAGTAGGCCTCATCCTAGAGATGCAGGGATGAAGCAACACACATAAACTGATAAATGTAATCCACCATATAAACAGAATGGAAGAAAAAAATAGTGATCATCTCACTAGATACAGAAAAGGCCGTTGACAAAATCCAACATTGTTTTATGTTAAAACTCCTGGAGAGACTAGGGATACAAGGGACATTCCTCAACATAATAAAGACTATTTGCAGCTAGCCCACAGCCAACATCAACTAAGTGGAGAGGAACTGAGAGCATTTCCACTAAATCAGGAAAAGACAAGGTTGTTCACTGTGTCTATGCCTATTAAATTCAGTGCTGGAAACCTTAACTAGAGCAACAAGAGCAGGAGATACAAATTGGAAAGAAGTCAATGTATTGTACTTTTATATGATACAATTCTATTCATAAGTGGTCCTAAAAAAATCTACAAGGAAAATTCTAGAGATAATAAACATTTTCAGCACAGTAACAGGATACAAAATTAACTAAAAAAATCAGTAGCCCTCCTGTGTGCAAACTACAAATGATTTGAAAAAAGAAATCAGGGAAAAATACTTTTCACAATATCCTCAAAATATTTTGGGATAATTGTAGATAAGCAAGCTAGAAACTTGTATAATAAAAACATTAAGACAAAGGAAATTGGAGAAGATATCTATCAGAAGATGGAAAGATTGCCCAATCGCAAGGATTTGTAGAATTTATATAGTAAAAATGGCCATCCTACCAAAAGTGACCTACAGATTCAATGAACTACCCATCAAAACCCCAAAATATTTTTCAAAGGAAATTGGAAGGACAATTTTCATCTAGTCATCCTCAGACTAGACACACCATGGACCAAGGAGAAAACCAAATACTATTTTTATGCTAAAGGAATGTAGTAATAATTCAATATGATATTGCGCTATACTCATAGATCAATTTCTTGCTTCCCTCACCATCATAGAAGCTTTCTCCTGAAGTAAATGACAACAAATACAACTGGACAATGTACAGAGACTGAGGGACCTTGAAACACTCAAGCCTAAATGGGATGTCTCCATCAAATCTGTCCCCTTAGAGAATTCCGTGGAATAAGATGTGAAAAGACTACAAGGGTCAGAGGGAATGGAGGATACTAAGGAAACAAGCCTTCTACCACATGGTGTAACTGATGTACATATGATCTTAAGAGACTATGGAAGTATGCCAGCTGGGCAACCAACTGCCACAGCCAGCCAGCCAGCCAGCCAGACAGACAGACAGACAGCTAACAAACTAACCAACCAACTTTCCAACCAACCAGCCAGCCAGCCAGGAAGGCAGGCAGGCAGCCAGCCAGCTAACCAACTTCCACAACCAGGCAGCCACCCAGCCAGGCATCTAGTCTATCAGCCAACGAGCCAATCAAACAACTAACCCACCAACTAACCAGCCAGTCAGCCAACCAAACTAACCAGTCAGCCAGGCAGCTAGCCAGCCAAGCAGCCAGCCAGGGTGCCAGGCAGCCAACCAACCAACCATTATAGCCAGGCAGCCAGCCATTAAGTCAGCCAACCAGGCAACCAACCAACTAACCAGCCAGTCAGCCAACCAGGCAACCAACCAACTAAACAGCCAGTCAGGCAGCTAGTCAGTCAGCCACCCAGCCTACTAACCAACTGCCACAGGCAGGCAGCCAGTCAGGCAGCCACCCATCCATCCAGGCAGCTAGCCAGTTAGACAGCCAACCAACCAACTAACCAACCAGCTAGCCAGCCATCTAGGCAGCCAGCCAGCCAACCACAGTCAGGCAGCCAGGCAGCCAGGCAGCCAGGCAGCCAGGCAGCCAGGCAGCCAGGCAGCCATCCATCCATCCATCCAGTCAGGCAGCTATCCAGTTAGCCAGTCAACCGACTAACCAACTAACTATCCAGCCATCTAGGCAGCCAGCCAGCCAGCTAACCAACCAACCAATAAAACTCCAGTCAGACAGAACTGAACTCTTTGAGCTGTTTGATTATATGTTCATAGGGAAGACAGTCTTTGAAATCTGATTAACTATCTAAAAAATATACTTTATAATATAGCAAGGTTTTCTAAATAATTAAGTGTTTTCAGGTTTTCTAATATTCTATAATTGAATGTCTGTGATTTATGCTATATTAATTCATTGTGAAAAACATTAAAATATGCAAGTTCTTTCTACTTACCAATTTCCAATAAAAATAAAAACTTAATTGTTTCATTTTAATTGCTCTTTAAAATAAAAAAAAAACGGAGCCCATTTCCCATAGAGGTATACTCTCTTAGCCTAGATAGATACACAGGGAAGGGCCTAGGCCCTGCCCCAAAAGACTAGACAGATTTTGATGATCCCTCATGGAAGGCCTCACTCTCCCTGGGAACTGGATGGGGGATGGGATGAGGTGTCGGTGGGAGACACAGGAGGATGGGAGGAAGAGGGAACTGGGGTTGATGTGTAAAGCAAGATTGTTTCTAATTTAAAAAAATTTATAAAAACAGAAAAAAAAGAAAAAGCACTGAATCTTAGCTTTGCTGTGTAGTTTGCTTATTTCTAGGCAGGTCGAACACACTTTAGCTTTAAAACTGACACCCTGAAAATGTAGAGCTACAGCCTGCAAATAGGAAAACTGATATAATCTTTCTTCAGTAAATACCACATAGCAGTACCCCTCTGAAATATCTATCTGCTGCACGAGGTCATTGCTCAAAATGAAGGTTCACATGCAGAAGCACTTTGTTTTTTGCTTTACCATATCTGAAGACATTCAAGACGGACAAGGTTGGGGCTCTGTGTTTGCAAGTGGTAGAGCACCTGCCTAGCATGTATGATGCCCCAAGTTCAGCCTTCAATATACAAATTATTACCATACCAAAATCCTTTTTTACTAAAACAAATCCTAGTTGCTAAAAGTTGTCAGTTGTTCATGAGACCACGTGCTTGAAAAGTCAAGGCTTGACTCATTTTGGGGTTCACAAAGGTTGAAATCATTTGGATTTCATGGGTTTCCTTATACTATTTAGAAACTGACTAATGATAGCAGCACTTATGTTCAGAGATTTTGAGAACCCATGAATTTTGGATTCTTGACTTGGTTATGTATTAAACCTTTTTATGGGATTCCCAATGGCTGGAAATTCTAAACATATGTTCATTCATGAAGTTATTCAAGGTTTTTTTTTGTTTTTAATTTTATTTCAAGGTCTGAAAGTCAGATTTACATTTTCAAGCTATAGTTACCGGTTCGGGGTAGACCTAAAATCAGCTGAGGCTTACACCTGAGGCTTCAAAAATCATTTGTAATAGGCAGAGAGGTGGGCCAAGCTAAAAGTCTACTTGCTCCCCAAATGAAAACTACCAATGAACAAACTCCTGGGGGGCTTTCTCTTTTTTCCGTTTTCTCCCCTGGGTTTAGAAATTGAAGTCATAACATTAGCAATATACCACTGAGCACAATGTGTGTGGAGACAAATTGGAGTAGATTTGTTCTTGATTCAAAACTGATTCTTCCCTAATGTAAGGACTTGCTGTTGTCGTAGCAATATCAAGCATAAGTTAACCATGTGAAAGCAAAGTCAGGAAAACATCTGCCTCTTTTCATATTAAATGGGTTGAAATCTTTCCTTTTCCACCTCTATGACACAGAATCTTTGCATCTTAAGTGCAACTAATCTCTGTTCGTTCACAGAAACCATTTTAATCCATCTCCCCTCCTTCCTCTGTTACACCATGCCTTGCAGAGTTGAGTTGTTGCAGCTCATTCACACAGTTCTGAGAATGTCAAGCCTAATAATTTTGGACTATGTGAGCCAGGTTGAAATGGATGCAAATGAACCAAACTTTCAATCAGATGTGATTGGAGCATGAAGTGCTATGGGTTCATTGTAATAGAAACTACAAGAGCTTAAAAGGCTCAGAATAACTCAGACTAAAATATCTTGGGGTCTTTTTCCATTTTAAAGAGAATTGGATAATTCTGTGTGGTTGAGGACTGACAGCATAATGGAAACAGAGAAATCTGCAGTTTCTCACCAGGTAACTGCATTAGCAGTGAACTCATAACACAGCCTGTTAGTTGAGAGAAGCATAAAGGGACTTCTGTTTTCCTATGAGGAGCTACATTCACACAGTTTTTAGCCAATTATACTTAGCTACTGCTAAATTCAGTTATTGGAAAATGCTTTCTACCCTGTAGCCTTCAGCAATAATGAGAAATCACATGCATGTTGATTTTTGTTATAATTGTTTATTAGCAGAGGCAAACACAATCAAAGCTGCCTTTAAACATTGCCTTCCTCTCATGATGTACCTGTAGGACATGACATTGTTGTCTAATAGAATCCTGACTATTTCTGCAAGGATTTCTCATATTTGGCTATCTGTTGCATCCAACAATCTTTGACAGTTTTATGTTTTGCAGTGACAATCTTTCTGGACATAATATAGGATAAAATGTATAGCATAAATATTATACACAGTTGTTACATCACATAAACTTTATGCACATTTATATATATGCGTATAAATTTATAAATATATATGATTCACTTACCAGAATTAAGAGGCAACTTGAAGCCAATTTTGTGTGCTCAGGGATAGTAGAAAACACTGACAAAATCAAACAACCAAATACAAGGAGAAAGCTGCAAAATAACAGAAAAGAGAAGTTTGATGAGAACCATGCAATCATGACAAAACAAATAAACCCACTTGAACAGGAGTGAGATAAATAATCCTGAGCATTTTAAATACCAGAGTGCAGTAGTATAATATTAAGTATAAATGGGGCTCTTTTGCAACTTTATTAATGGAGACAAGGTTGAATGTGTTGTGTTGTATGTGCATTGTGTGATGTGTGTGTTGCTGTATTTAAATGCTAACACTTAGAAGTCTGTGAATTTCCCGCACAACTCCTCTTCTAAAAAGGAACCCTAAGCAAGACAGAAGAGTGGCTCTTGCTCTTCTATCTGGGAATGCTTTTGTATTTGTTAAGTCTGTAAACTATCAGGCATCACGTGCTATTATTGCTAAGCTGAGCACCCATTGCCAGAGTCTGATAGTGCTTGTGGATTCTAACATGTAAATTTTTTGGGGGGGGGGATTCGTGTTGCACCCTTCCCCCATAGGGATCTGCTGACCAGCTTGTGACTAGGAGCTTCTAGAGAAACACCTTTTGTCCCCTTCTTCCCAGTAAGGCCTGCATGCAAGTCCCTGTTTTCTGTCCATCCTTATTGTCTAAATGCTAATTCCTGTTTGTGGCCCAGCCTTTGCCTGAGGACCCTAGGAAAGTAGGCTTCTGACCTTGGTGGTTTTCCACCATGCCTGCTACTGGTATATAATGCTCCACTCTTGTTAAAATAAATGCCATTCTCCTTGTAAGAATGAGCTGCTGTCTTTGTCTTCATTTACATCCTTAGCCCTTCTCCAGGATAGATCATTGTGAAGTTCTGTAGCCCTGTAATTGCCAACACCAGCTCGCTACATTTCGAGACAAGGTTTCTCTGTATTGCTTTGTCCTAGAGCTTGCTCTGTAGACCAGGCTGGCTTCAAACTCACAGAGACAGGCCTGCCTCTGTCTCCTGAGTGCTGGAATTAAAGGCGTGCCCACCAACTCCCAGCTGTACTTTCTTTAGGTTGATAGGAAGAACAGGGGGAAAAAGATGGTTTTCTCTGCTACCTGTGTACCCTGCAGCTCTTTGCAGTCAAATAGTTAGAGGAAAGGACTCGAAGTTCTGTCTATTCACATTTTAATGGCAGGGATCAGAAGTAACGAGCAAGCATTTTCTATCGGTCTCTGTAATGATGTTTCTATGAATATGGAACTTCTAGGATCAAGACATGGCTATGGATGCGTCTGAACTCCCGCAGAAAATCTCAAATAAAAGGGAAGTCTGTTTAAAGCCGAAGTTGAAATGCAGGCTATCAAAACAAACCAGAAACCCTGAGTGAAGTACTATAGACTAGATCTCACCAATACTTGTGTTCAGAAAATTCATATAATATGGTCTTCTCAATTGCAGAGGAATTAAACTCTAACTCCCCATAACTTGCACCAAAAAGATTTACAAGTTCCTTTATCATGCTAGACTCACAGTGCCCTGATAGTCTGGCCAGGGATTGACCGATTATGGCTTGAGCTCAAGTCTGCATCCTAATGCTTAGTTTTGAAAATTGTTAACAATTTCATATATAAGTACACATTTACATCATTTCCAACTTTTCCCTTTAAGATTTCCCATGCTTATCCTAATTCTTCTCAAATCCATGATCTTTTCTTCTGCAAATGTATGTGAAATTAAATGTGTAAATTAAAAACCCATTTAATCCATTTAGTGTTGTTCATTTGTATATGTATTAGGTACAGACCACTTAGGATTGAATATACCAGGGAATTAACCTGTAGAGAAGATGGATTCCTTCTCCCTCAACAGCCACTGACTGCTTATGGCTTTTCATGTCATAGTGGGTCTTGTGAAACACTTGTGTGTTGACTGACATTGCCATTTTTCAGGTCTTGTTTAGGTAACCCTGTTTTTCAGATCTCATGGGTACAGCATGCCTATCCGGTCTAGGAGACACTATCCAGCAGCAGGTGTCCTGATACTCAAGCTTTTAGAATCCTTCTGTCCTGTCTTCCACAATGGTTCCATAGTCTCTGGTACAGGAGTAGTGTTGGAGATATACCACTAATGATTATTTGTATAAATAACATTTTATTGTCACTGCCCTGTTGTCTATGTCAGCTTTCATATTAAAAGTGTAAAACAAAGTAGTTAAAACAGAATGTTCTGCCAGTGTTGTAGAATATTTGTACATTGTGTGAAGATGTATTGCTATTTGGTATAGTGGTTTATAGGCTTCCTTAGTCTACTGATGTAGCCACGATATACCCATGCAGAAGATTAAAATGCTTATGATGAAGGGCTAGGAAGACAGGGACACAAACTGAAAGATGGACTTAGTCCATAGACATTAACAACTTGCCAAGGTAACCTTTATGATCAGTTTAAAACTGCCATGAGATAAATATATTCCTTCAAGATTATTCAATAACAGCTTTGGCTTTAATTATATCTGAAGCATTTCTGTTTTGTTTCAGATAAAATTCATGCTTACCCAAAATTTTTATGCCAAGCTTTCTTTTGGAAGGTGGTGATTATTTTAAGATGAGGAGAGCATTTATGAGAAAGTAAATATTACCAGTTTCAAGGCTGCTCTGTTTAGCCAAGAAAAGTACCATCAGCTTTTTTCTGTTAGCTAATTATGAATCAGTTTCTGAGATTTAATTTTGCTAAGAAACTCAGGTTCTTGTTTGAACAAATGATGTCCCGATTCTAAAGCCTGTACTTTCAGAACAGGTGCACTTCTCTAGAATTAAAATGACATGCAAATGAAGTACTCAGAAAAGCTCAGCTGACACTTAGCCAGAGGAACCTTAGCAGGTTACATTACACACACACACACACACACACACACACACACACACACACACACACACCTCTAGCCACTCATAACAGCAACATGATACAGAACTTATACCTGATGTGGGCATTTCATGGAGCTTTAGTAGGTACAAATAGGCTTTGGTAATCTACTCAGAAGACACTCTTCTGTGAGCATTTTGGTTGACTATCTATTTTGCCAGAAGACTGCTGGGGAAACCATAGTAAAACCATCCTTATGTATATGAAGAACTCTTTGGGGGAGGTAGGAGTGTATATACTTGGAGGAGGGGAGATCATCAAGTCTTACATGGTATAGGATCATGAGATTAATAGACATACAGAAACATTTAAGAATGACAGTCCTTAGGAATCATTTATGTAAAAATAGTAACCACACCTGTGATGTTTCATTAAATTTCAAGTATTGCTATGATGAGCTAGGCACTTTAGTATATTGTATGGATGATGTTTTTATGTGTATCACCAATTATGATGACTCAAGTATGCGTGCCCGTATTAGTGACTTTACATGACTGGCTGGCCAACATGTATGTGCCTGGAGGCTAAGCTGTCTAATGAATCAAAGCTTAATGACCAGATTGGTGGGGGCTGAAGCTGATTGTGTGACTCTTGCATCCTAAATTTATCTGCCTTTATAAAGAGTGCTCTGTGAAATGCCCTTGGTATCTAATTTTTCCATGAGAGATGCACAGTTTGCCCCTGAAGTCTCCACATCTCACCTTTCACTGCAAAACAACAAAAGCATAACGAGACATTTGGGTGTTTTTTACAGTGATGTATTTGAGATCTATGTATTAATACCTTAATATAATGATCACTATAATCTCTGTAAAGTTCCAACCTGGGAAGTTACAGATTGCATGTGACATTAAAAGGCAATCAGAGAATTTGGGGAATAGTGCTTTATGCTTCTTTATTCTGTTTCTGAAAAAGGCTCTGGCAAATGTAAATGATTTAGAACTTGGTCTGAGAACCCATAAACATTCCAAGAGGCTTCTATCAAAGAAGAGGCTAGACTGTGTGTAAACACAATCTTGGACATGCTTAGTACAAAAGCTGACTTTAACGATCAGTGAATCCATGTGAACAGAAGCTCCTCTCTCACTCCCCATAGTGGTTATCTTTAAGAATCCATGAAAGACATTTGTTCTGTTTCTCTTTGAATCCTTCTAGTGTCCTGAACCTACTTTACGTCCATTCAGGCTTGCTGCAGACAGTTCTGTTTTTGGAAAACTGTTTCCTCCTTGAGTCAACTCCATAGAGAACCTTCACTGCTGGTCCTTTAGGTTCACAACTACAGAGTATATACACTCCTACCTCCCCCACAGAGTTCTTCATATACATAAGGATGGTTTCACTATGGCTTCCCCAGCACTCTTCTGAGTCAATACACCAAGGCTAATAGTTGCATAGGAACCCATGTTCAGATCTTGCACTTTCCTCACCAACGTGCCTGAAATATACTCACTCTGTCACTGCATCCCTTAATGTGAGACTCTGACGATGTGAGATCCTCCAACGTAAGCAACAGATCTGGCATTTAGTTACCAACATGAAATAGTGCCACTGTTCGTTCTTGCCAGGAAACTCAAGTTCAAAATTTCCACTGCCGAGATAATAGCAAAACTCTGGTTTCAAAAGGACTGTCTAAAGGACACTTTTGTTTCTGTCTCTTTGCTGCCACATCACAGAACCTGGGGTGAACCTGAACTATTGACCTGTGTCCAGAGTACACCCAGATTGGTCCTTAATGTAATTACTTTTTCTAAACTGTGTTTGATTTTTCTGCTCTTTCCTTGAAAAGGAATAATGACCACTTAACCAACATCCAATGCTTTGAGGGTTTCTCTGTATTTCACATTGTATTGGTTCCTGGAGGCGTCCCATAAGACATTCTCTCCAGTATTTTATTGTAAGAGATACCTATATTGCTTCTGAAAAAATGACAAAGACAGGTATCTTTAATATATTTGTATCATGGCTTTAGCTGTTAGGATGCTCAGATGTGAAACTGAAATTCATGTTAATAATGGCCCATTCAGTTATTATCAAGGATGCACATGTCCATGGACAGTCTTCCTTTCTAACATCTGTGTCCTCTCCTATCATTTGATCCTTGCCCTTGTCTCCCCCTCCCCCCTTTTATTTTCGAGACAGCGTTTCTATGCATAGCTTTG